AAGCATGATCTTTTCCAGCTCCATCCAAGTTGCTGCAAAAGACATGTGTTTCTCTTTTTTGGTTGCGGAGTAATATTCCATTGTATATATGTACCACATCCAAAAAGGAAGGTTTTTATTGGCAGGAAAAGGCAAGACAAGGAATGAAGGAATTATGTCAGGCGTAGGTAACCTACCTATGGAGAATAGATAAGGGTCTTGTGACAGTTTCTTTTGAGGGAATGGAAAGAATGCCTCCTTGGTCTGACTGGGACATTTCCTACTAACTAGTTAGGACTACATTCCCCAGGGAGTTTGAGGCTACATTTATGTTAGGTATTAAGTGTTGATGGACTTAGCACAAGAGACTATTTTGGGCCTGTCAATTTCCTTTCTAAGAGAATGGATATGTCTACTGTTATTTATTCTAGAGTGGACTGTATGATAATCTAGCAACAGAAAGAAATGAACTGATGATATATACTACAGTGTTGACAAATCCCAAAATAATTTTGTTCAGTGGAAGAAGTCAGTTAAAATGGAATAGGTAAGATATGGTTCCATTTGCAGAAAATTCTAGAATACACAAGCTAATGTGTAGAACAGCATTATCAGTTGTTGCCTGGTAAACTAGTGCAGCAGGGAGGAGAAAGAATTCCATTTTAAAGTATATAGTGTCATTCAGTATGTTTAGATCACTGTACAACTGTTTCCAGTATCCATTTCCAGAACTTTCCATCATCTCAAACTAAAACTCTGTAGCCATTCAATATGCCCATTAAACAAAACACATTTTTGACAAAAGTGTTTCAAGACCAAATTGAATGTAATTTTTGAACTTGGTACAAGGAATAACTTTCAGGTAGACTGAAATGGTTGTCACCTGATGTTTTCCATCTCACAGTGGGGAACAGCCAGGTTTAGATACCTTCACAGGTTGGGCATGATGGAACTGAGATTTGTACCTCCCACCTGGCCACATTTCACACACTCCTTGGTCTCAAAGAAAGGTGGGTGAGGTATTGTGTATGACACACCGGCTGCTATCACACTACTGGAAAAACAGCCCAAACTGCTTGCTTCAGGAATCATGGGTCAATTGTGTCATCTTTTATGTGTGGGAAGAATACCCTAATTATCACTGCACCTCCTGACAAAATTAGCAAATCATCACATTACATTACAAATCATTCACTTTCCTCCCAACTATTCTCTTTCTCTCAGCTCCTCAGCCACCCCCCTCCCCTTAACCCACGTCCCACTCGTTGAAAAAAATCGCTCAAGCACATTTTCTTTGAAAATTGTTTTGACCCTTGTGCTCGGGGATGGTTTGACTGTGGTGAGATGCTCCGCTGCTCTCCTCAAACAGTCTGCCTCAGCCTCACCTGGTTCCATGATCTCTTCTGGCACTGTAATTGGTTTTTAGTAAACAAAACTCTCCCACTAGAAATTCAGGGAGTGAAACCTTCTTGGGATTGAATGCATCTTAGGTGAAAGCTGGAAAGGGATGGCCTGAAGCATTGGAGTAGGGCAGACCTCGATCAGGATGCTTTAGCTCTCTCCCCTGTGCAATGGGTGTGCCTACCTGCCAACTGTTTGGGGGAACTAAATGAGATACTGTTTGAAGTGCGGTGCCGGGTGCTCAGGCGAGTGAGGAATGTTCTTTCCCCTTGCCTACTTTGCACATCAGGGCCAAGTGGTGGGTAGAAAGCGGGAACATGGAACAAGAAAGAAGGGAGCCGGCTTCTGAGGACGGGTTTTTCTCTATACAAAGGTCTCCGAATTCAAAGAGGCCGCCGGGTTAAAGAAAAAAAAGAGAAGCTAGCGCAACAGTCCCCTGGATTTGGGCATAGATAAAGCTTGTAAAAAAAAAAGCTGGTGCGAATTTAGAAAAGGAATTGAAATGCCCCAGGCTTTGTCATGGCATATTCCCCAGTTTTTTTTGCAATGCGTTTAGAAGTTCAGACACAGGATGAGCTCGAATTTGGCCCAAAGCCTTGACTGTGGCGGCTGTGGGGTAGAGGTCAGCCCAACAGGTGTGGGAATCTGCGAGGTAAAGAAAGGAGCAAGAAGCAGGTGTCCGGGGAGGGGAGGGGCCCCTGTTTCTCCGGCACCGGGGCACCAAGGCTGTTCGTGGTTTCCAGCCGCCGGGGAAGGGGCCTTGAGCTACATCTGGCCGCTCCGGGCCCAGGGCTTGGGGGGAGCAGACCGAGGTGGCGGGTCAGCGGCGGGCCAGCCCGAAGGGCTTCCTTCCCTCCGCCAGCCCCAGCGCCCCGGCGGATGCCTGGAAGTTGACGCGCACTCCCGGCAGCTGGGAAGCCCCCGGGCGCCGGGCGCGGGGGTTGGGCCGACTCCAGGTCCGCGGGGCTGGCTTCCTCCAGCGCCGACGGGCCCCGGGCGGGGTGCGGAGGTGGGGGTAGGGGGTGGAGGGGCCGCCCCGCCGCCATCAGTGGCTGGGGCGCCGCAAGCGGAGGCGGGGGCCCGGGACCCAAGCCGGGGGGGAGCGCAGCGCTCGCAGTCCCCGGGTTGGCCGCGCCTCTCCTCGCGGGAGAGGCGGGCAGGCGGCCCTTATTGGTCGGCCCCGTTGGCCAATCCCTGAAGGTGCTGGAGAGGCGGTGGGGGGCAGTTTGTGGGGGACTCTTGGGCCGACGGGGAGGCTCAGGCGGTCGGAGGAGCCGAGGCACCGCCCGCGCCGCGTCCGACGTCGCCGCGCCGGCCTGGGAGGCGAGTTGCGAGCGTCGCGTTGTGACCACTGCCCGGGCCCACCGTGGGGACGCCGAGCGCGAGAAACCGGACCGAGCTCATCCTCTTCCCGCCGCGCGCAGCACCATGAGCCACTTCAACAAGGGCCCTTCCTACGGGCTCTCGGCCGAGGTCAAGAACAAGGTATGCTCGGCCGGGAGGTGTCCAGGTGAGGGGTGCGAGGCCAGGCGCGGCCGAGGGGGTCCCCGAGACTGGGGCTGCTCTAGGCGGCGCGCTTCGCCCCTGCGCGCTTGGGCTCGCTGACTTCGCAGAAAGGGGACGTCGAGGTGGCGCGAGAGTTGCCGCGTGTCCCCCGTCCGGTCCCCAAGCTCGAGGCGCCGGCTCCGCGGCGTTTTCCTGGCTTTGTTCCCGTGCGGTTGTCGGGGTGGAGCGGGCAGCGGGTTCCCGGGCTCCTGGAATCCCGCAGCGCCGGCCTGCGGTTACTGAGTCGGCGGGTGCTGCACAGCGAGCCCCTCCGGGAAGGGGGCGCTCCTGCCTGGCCATTTCCCCTTAGGCGGGGCCGGTCCGCGCTACTGGGGACCCGGCGAACGGCCCCCGCCATCCGCCCTGGCCCCGGCTCCTGGCCGACTCGCGCCTCCTCCCACCCCCGGGCGGACTCAGCTGAAAGCAGAGTTAGGCGGTTCCGTGGCCAGACTGGGCCCCTCATTGTTCCCCGGTCTCAGGGAAGCCGCTGAGAGTCGCACGGACCCCAGGAGCCCCCGAGAAAGGGGAGTTGTTCAGTTTCCAAATCTCGGTGCCATGAGGCGAATTGCCGCTACTTCTGCGGGAAACCCAGACAAAGCCGGAGCGTGCGGCTTTGGGAGCAATTTCTGCGGTTGACCGGAGATTCTTAAAACACCGACAAGTTTTTAGTGTATTAGACTTTCACGATCCCGAGGTTATCTTCGCGGGTGGCTTTTGTTTAGGGTTTCTTTGCCGAGGAGGGTTGTCGTTGGAGCGGTCGGCTTTGGTCAAGCCCCGTTTTGCCACTTTGCATACCTAAGCTGAGAATGCTTTGGGTTTATCTTTGGGACTTTTGGTCTGGGAAAGATATGAGAGGCGTCCCCCTCCCCAAATCCTCTCCTTCCTTCCTCCCTCCCCTGCATTCCAAGCCCATGACATCAAGGGTTTCTGGAAGGGGGGGAAAGACCAGCCAATCGGCGCGGAACTGCGCACAGAACGCTCATTGTCTCCTTTCTGCTGTTCTGGCCAGAGCGCCACAAAGGAGGGCTGCTGTGGTTTAATTCTCATTAACCTCCAGGGAACCGAAGCATGTCAGGATTGCCACCGCACTGTCCGACCCCTGCTAGAATACACTGGCATTGTCAAAGCTGTAACATCCCAGTGTTGGGGCGTGGGGGGTGGGGTGGGGGAGGTGATCGCGGTGTGGAGTGAATTATATAGAGGCAATGAAGCGCGCGGTTGTCAAACCCCAGGGAGACTTGTGGCTCCTCATTCCTCCCTCCCCCATGCTCAGCGCATCATTCTGATTCTGTTGTCGATGCGTTTGGAGCAACCTTTGAAGCAAGGAGTTAGTATTAGTTTAGCATATTTAAAACTTAAATGTTTGAGTCCTTTGTCAAGTGTGTTTCCTGATTTTTTTTTAAGAACAGAAAGGCAGTGGTGTGCACTGTGATTTATGACAAACCTTGCCAACTGGAAGCTGTTGCAAAATATTTTTCCATTTCCCCCCAAAGTTTACAAACAAAACTTCAGGAATCCGTGTACAGGAATCTTTATGTCCAAACTGTTGGATGATACTGTGGCCTGGCTTGGGCACATTAGTTATATTTTGTTGGCTGGCTGCAGTTGCTACTCTACCTTTTTGCATTGCAAATGCAGTACACATAACTTTGGCAGTCCTTCAAGTGACTGGCTTTTCTTGGATGTTAATGTTAGCCCTGTTAATTTCTCATTTAAAAAACCATTTCATTTTGCTGACTAATGAATTAGCTTCTCCCCTTTTCCTACTTAGGGATGAGCAGCTTGAAGAAATGGCATAGATTGAGACTAGATCACAAAAATAATTGCCAAATTTAAATACCAGTAAAACTTCAGTTTTCAGGATGTTTGGAAAGTTAATTTTGCAGCTTTTGGTTTATATTACTGTGGCCTTATCCCTTTAAGCGCCAAACCCATCTTTTAATAACCCCTTTCACTTATATGGCCCTTGCATAGGAAGTCTTTTGATCTTAGGAGCAGAGCAGCCCTCTAAGGTGGGAAGGATTGCTGGGATTATCCAACATCCTTTATAGATCAGGGTGCTAAATTTTGTAACAGATGTGATTTGCTCAAGATCCCTGAAAAACTATTTTAAGACTTGTGCTTTCATTTAGAGAAGTCCTTGGGGATGTTCTACCACAAGCTACTTTTATCTGCCTCCCTTTCCCCCAAATGTGGTCCACCTGTCACTTCTTGACATCATGATTATTCATGTAATACTGTTTTAATTTGTCTGGACTTGGAAATCATATCTTTTCTTTGAGGTGCTGCATGTCATCAGAGTTCAGAACTGCCTGATGAGTGGGTAGATGGAATGTGAACTTTGACGTGTTTGATTTGGACACCTTTTGATTCCTTTCTGCTTTTTTCTTATGTATTACATAACCCATAGGCCACTTAAAACAGAGGCGATCCCCCTCCTCCACCGCCCAACACTCCATTCCCCCCTTTAAACCTCATTTAGCAAAGTAGGAAAGATAGAATCCTCCTGCCAATACAGTGTAGAGTGGAACTTGACCTCAACGCCATGATGTTCTTCTAGTCCCCTTACTGCCTGCATGAGGTTAGGCAAGTTATTCGGTAACTGAACTAGCTTCTTACTCTGTAAAAGGGGGAGACAACACCCCTCCCAAAACATTGCATTATTGAGATGTGTGTTAGGCAGTTAATGCCCAAAGGCTAAGTTGTAGCTGTTAGTTCTTAGTAATAGAAAATTAGTATTATTGTTATATATTTTCAGATTTGTATGGCACAGCTTCTTTATTCCATTTCTATGAAATAATCCTTAGGTCCTTTTATATTCCAGTTGTGAAAGCAGTCCAGCATTGAATCAAGGAAGTCTTTCATTGCTGATTTGTAGAATTTCAGGGAAAATCTATAGGCCTAACGCACTTATTTGACAAGATGACAAGTGCATGGCACAATATACAAGATTTTTTTCCTTTAATGAGCCAGAAGATGTTTGAAACAACCTAAAAAAATTAAAATCCTTCAGCCTAGCATATGAACATTGTCTCTTTAGTAACAACAAAAGGATCTATGATGTGTAGTCTACAAAGACCCTACTAGAGTAGAGGAAGCAAGGAACATACAGAAGAAGCTGGTGTGGTGGGTAGCTCTGGAGCATGGAAACACTCCTAAGTGCGAAGGTCCTTATACTTTTATACATGTGGAGCCTGCAGCCAGGCTCCTGACTGCATGGTGGGAACCCAAATAAAGAGGGAAACACCTCTGTACCTACAAACATGAGCAACTCTTAAGGGAAGCCCACCGTTTCCAGACACCTGCTTCCAAACAAGATACTGGAGTCAGGAGAGTTTCTTGGTGAGCTGAGGGTGCTGCAGAGAGCTTTTGCTAAAGTCTCTAGGAAAGTGGAGGAGCTCAGATCTCAGAATGTGGGGGAAGGAGGGGTTAGGTAAGCCAATGGAAATATTGAGAAGACTGGCGTTGGAATATATATTCTGACAGTTTTCTCCAACCATGGAATGTTGATTTGAGCAAAGTAGCTTCTCATAGAATCGTCTTGGTTTCAAAAAAAAAAAAAAAAAACATTTTGGAAGACTTTTTACTAAAATTAGAAGTCACTGATGTAAGGTAAATACATATAGTAGCAGTGTCAGAAGTAAGCTAACTGTGAAGACGTTGTCCTCTTCTCATTAACCACAGGACTTAGTGTTTTTTTCTATACCTTTTTTCCCTTCTGGTGGGAAATTAGTGTTTTCACTTAATGGTATCTCCTGAACCAATGTGACACAAAAAAGAAAGAAGCATGATTGGATGGTTTGTCTTTTTGGCCTGTCAATACCATTTTATCCAGGACACTTGGGGAATTCTTTATTTCCCTTCTCCATAGGACCAGCTGGTAGGAGGATATCTGTCCTTACAATTCTTGACTAAGTTTCATTTTATTGCAGGCCTTAAGTTCCTGCGTCATTAACAGAACATTGGTTTTTCTTAATTCAGAACTCATAACCATAGTGGGCACCTAACTTATGTATATGTACTGGTGTCCAGGTTTTTATTCAGGATTTCTTGATCCTAAGGTAGATCTAGATTGTTTATGGGGCCTGCAACTTTTATACTTACGTGGGGCTAGCAAAAAGAAAAAAATAGGAAAAGTATTGTGCAAACTTTATATAAATATACAGTCCGACAAATGCTCATGACCTCAACAATGTCCAGGTACGTCTCCACATGTTCTTGTCAATGAGAAAATAGAACTTATTGGCTAAGACTATGGACTGGAGAGACTGTCAGTGTTGGAATCTTGGTTCTGCCTTTACTCTGTGATTTTACTCTCTGAGATAGGCAAGGCCTATCTGTGTCTTATCTGTAAAGCGAGGATAGTATGATGACTATCTCAACTGAGTTGCTAAGAGAATTAAGAAAGATTGATAAACCATGTAAAGTGTTAAGAATAATGCCAGGAAACAAAAGTCTGAGAGCCATTATTCCATCTTGCTGGCTGGTTCTCCCCTGGTCTGGTTCAGTTGTGTGTGCTCCTGACTTGCTTTTATCTCCTAGATACTGAGATGATCTCTAGGACTTGGACATTCACTTGCAGATAGGTATCTGAAGGAGGCTTCTGATAGGTAGGGCCCCATGATGCTCAGTAGTACCCCTTTCTGCTCCCTCTGAGGGATATGATCTGTCCCACCCCCTAATCAAAGACACTACCCCTTGGCAGCCAGCCAAACATTTCCTCAGGTCACCCTGTTCTCATCTGTCCCTGTTACCTGCAGGGTCTCAGGCTTTTGTGTCTAGTGAGAGGCCCTGCTTTCTAAGCCTGTTGTTAAACATTCACCTCTCATTTCTTGGTTCCAAAGAGGCTCATACTCTCCTACTGTGGATGGATAAGAATATTTACCTTTTGGAGTTTAAATCTTGTCTTTGGAGGCCTTCAGTTATAAGTGCTTTTTAAA